TCCTTTTACCCAGTCTTCCACGTTTCCAGCTCCTTCCCCCTTTCTTTTTCCTCCCCCTCCCCAGACCCAAACGTCATGATTCTTGTCATGACATCACCCCCCTGAGATCTCGACCACTTCCCTGGAACCGGTTTTTCATCCTGATAATTTTCTGACGGTCCCGAGGCCCGGTAGGGGCCCCAGAGGACGCAAATAGGGCAAAACCTCCCGTCGTGATTTTTCAAGGCTCGAGGGGGTCTGGGGCTGGGCCTGCTCTTCTCCCATCTCTATTTCCTCCGGCTCCTCCGCCTCCTGCTCCTCTCGCTTCCCCCCTCTCTATTCCCTCTCCCTCCCCCGCTCCCCGCTCCTCCCCCCCATTCTATTCACTCTTCAAGAAAGAAGTCGACTGCATAATGGATTAAATCCCAATGTTTCCAGCCGGATCTACAAGCACATATAATGTTCGTAGGTCTAGCAATAGGTATACCCATACATTAATACATAAATGCATGCATGCATACATACACCGATACACACATACACACATACATAAATGCATACATGCATACATACATACACACATACATGCATACATACTTACACACATACGTATGTATATACATACATACATAGTAATGTACATATAACCATGCATACATTAACCCATACATACATACATTTAGACATACATGCATACATCTATATACGCATATACATTCATACATGCATACGTACGTATGTACGTACGTACGCAGACACATTTACATACACATACATTCATACATCTAGCCATCCGTCCATACACCCATACATACATAAATGCATGCATGCATGCATACATACACGCACACCCACATACACACAGACATACGAGCACACATACACACATACATACATGTATGAAAACATACATGCACATGTACATGTACATACATACACGCATGCGTATCTACATACATACATACATACATACATACATACATACATACATACATACATACACACATACATACATACATACACACATACGTACCTACATACACACATCCATATTTCTGCATATACCCATACACACAGACGTACATGCATACATACAACCATGCATACACGAACCCACCCATACATGTAATCATACATGCATACATGCATATACATACGTACATCCATCCACACATGCATACGTACGTATGTACGCACGTACGCACGCACGCACACATACATACAAGCAAACATACACGTCTCGTGCCATCGAGTCAAACATCCATCCATACATACATGCATGTACACATACATACATACAAACATACATGCATACCCACATCCCCACATCCGTACTTACACATGCATACACACATACGTGACATACATACAGACTTGCAGACATCAAACGTACATCCACACATACACGCATGTATACATACATCCATGCATACATACGTGCATTCATACATACATATATGTATATATACATACATATGGACGTAAGGCATACGTACATACATACGTGCATGCACACGTACATCGACATATATATATATATACATTGCTTACGTATACGTACATGCACACATCCATGTATAGACGTACACATACACACGTATACATGTACTTTCCGTGTACCCGATAACGATTTGAATTCTGGGGTAACTCAATTCTGCAACCGATATCCGACTCGAACCCTTCTTGACCTCATCTGCCCAGAACTCCGGCCTCGGGCCTCTTTCGCAACGAGGGCCCCCAAGGGCCCCCACCCACTCCCCAAGATTAGCGTTTCATGCCAAGTGTGTTATTATGTTTGCCCCGCGGCCTGGTGATAGTTTCTCGACGCGTGGAATGACAGTGTGCGTCACCCCCAGAGATCCGATGTATTTGTTCAATTCGAAGTCCCCTGAAAGCCTGACCCTTTTTCCAGGGCCGGTTTTGCATCCTGCGCCGCTCTTTGTCCCAGGGCCCGCCGAGGGGGTCCCCAGAAGTAGAAAACGACGGCAATGCTCCATACTGATTTTTCCCAACCCTCTCCTGGTTGGGTCCTCGTTTTGAATAGGGCAGTGGGGTCGCCGACTCCCTTCTTCTCCTCCTCCCGCCCTCTGTCCCCCTCTCGCTGCACCTTCTCCTCCTCATCCTCCTCCTCGCCCCCCCCGCTCTCCTCTCGGCTCTCTCCTCTCGCATCCCACTTGGGAGCCGCGGAGTGTGAAACTGTCGCCACCTTCGAAGGCTGCTGGGGGAGCCCGCACAGCGGGGCCCCACGCAGACCCCAAAAAGGCCTGGCCATCCCTGGGGGGCTGCGAAGTGTGAAACTGTCGCCACTTTCGAGGGCTGCTGGGGGAGCCCGCACAGCGGGGCCCCACGCAGTCCCCGAAAAGGCCTGGCCATCCCTGGGGGGCTGCGAAGCGTGAAACTGTCGCCACTTTCGAGGGCTGCTGGGGGAGCCCGCACAGCGGGGCCCCACGCAGTCCCCAAAAAGGCCTGGCCATCCCTGGGGGGGCTGCGAAGTGTGAAACTGTCGCCACTTTCGATGGCTGCTGGGGGAGCCCGCACAGCGGGGCCCCACGCAGACCCCAAAAAGACCTGGCCATCCCTGGGGAGCTGCGAAGTGTGAAACTGTCGCCACTTTCGAGGGCTGCTGGGGGAGCCCGCACAGGGGCCCCACGCAGTCCCCAAAAAGGCCTGGCCATCCCTGGGGGGCTGCGAAGTGTGAAACTGTCGCCACTTTCGAGGGCTGCTGGGGGAGCCCGCACAGCGGGGCCCCACGCAGTCCCCAAAAAGGCCTGGCCATCCCTGGGGGGCCGCGAAGCGTGAAACTGTCGCCACTTTCGAGGGCTGCTGGGGGAGCCCGCACAGCGGGGCCCCACGCAGTCCCCAAAAAGGCCTGGCCATCCCTTGGGGGCTGCGAAGTGTGAAACTGTCGCCACTTTCGAGGGCTGCTGGGGGAGCCCGCACAGCGGGGCCCCACGCAGACCCCAAAAAGACCTGGCCATCCCTGGGGAGCTGCGAAGTGTGAAACTGTCGCCACTTTCGAGGGCTGCTGGGGGAGCCCGCACAGGGGCCCCACGCAGTCCCCAAAAAGGCCTGGCCATCCCTGGGGGGCTGCGAAGTGTGAAACTGTCGCCACTTTCGAGGGCTGCTGGGGGAGCCCGCACAGCGGGGCCCCACGCAGACCCCAAAAAGACCTGGCCATCCCTGGGGAGCTGCGAAGTGTGAAACTGTCGCCACTTTCGAGGGCTGCTGGGGGAGCCCGCACAGCGGGGCCCCACGCAGACCCCAAACAACTACTTCGCCATCCCTGGGGAGCTGCGGAGTGTGAAACTGTCGCCACGTTCGAGGGCTGCTGGAGGAGCCTGCACAGCGGGGCCCCACACAGACCCATAAAACGACCTCGCCTTCCCTGGGGGGCTGCGAAGTGTGAAACTGTCGCAACTTTCGAGGGCTGCTGGGGGAGCCCGCACAGTGGGGCCCCACGCAGACCCCCAAAAGACCTCGCCATCCCTGGTGGGCTGTGAAATGTGTAACAATCGCCACTTTGGAAAGCTGCTGGGAGGGCAGCACAATGGGGCCCCACACAAATGGGACTTCGCCATTCCTTGCAGGGGATGCGAAGTGTGAAACTGCCACACTGTCGGGAGCTGCTGGGGGGGCCAGCACAGTGGGGCCCCACGCAGACCCCCAAAAGACCTGGCCATCCCTTGGGGGGGCTGCGAAGTGTGAAACTGTCGCCACTTTCGAGGGCTGCTAGGGGGGCAGCACAATGGGCTCCCACGCAGATCCGAACGGGAACCCGCCAACATGAGGGGGGGGCTGCGAAGTGGCAAACTGTCGCCACGTTCGAAGGCTGCGGGGGGGGCCAGGGTGTCACTGTCGCTATTTTCGAGTCAGCCAAGCACACGTCGCACGACATAAATATCAGCCGTGCACCGTCTCTTGCAATGTTGCTGTCGCACTATTGCCGGCACACCTTTTATCATCCCTTAGTGACGATGGGTTGGGTACGCCGCAGGGTAATTGTTCTATAATCTCATGCCCGTGAGAATAAACACTAGGGGATAATAAAGTTCGGGGTTCAGGGAGAGATGATAAAAGTAGCCCAGCAGACCTCAGCATAATCTCGAAGTAAGAGATGATCAAGAGGAGACCAAGCCGAGCACGTTTTGAGACATCCTTGGCGTTTAGTTTTCATAGAAATATCCGCAACAATGGCTTATCTCTCATGAAAATTGTTTTTTGTAAGTGCTCGTGTAGGGTAGCTCATGTGCCTCAATTTCCATGGATAATCAACCCCAGAGATAAAAAAGTTCAGGCGAGCGTGGGGACAGAGAGAAATATAAAAAAGAAGAATACAGTAGAAGAATAATAAGAAAGAAGAAGAAGAGGATAATAAGAAGAGGACGAAGAAAGGAAAAATCCAAAGTTCCAAATCTATCAATTTTAATTTACAAACGCTTTATGAAAATTGATGTTTTAAGTGCTCGTGTAGGGTAGCTCATGTGCTTCATTTTCCATGGATAATCAACCCCAGGGATAAAAAAGTTCAGGCGAGCGTGAGGACAGATAGAAATATAAAAGAAGAAGAGGAAAGTAGAATAATAATAAGAACATTGCTCGTTTCGTTTGAGTCTGCCTCCCAAAATTATTGGTTTCGCTTGACACATCCTGAAAAAGTGTGATCGCTTCGCTTGATGTTGCTATATCAACATCGCTTGATGTTGCTATCTCAACATAGCGTTTCGAGGTGATAATGAAGTTCGGCCTCAGCGCTCGCCGCCCAATTTGAATTTTGTATAGGGCGACGATAATCAACTCTAAACACTGAAGGGGGGGGGTCCCTTTATTATCATCGGCATGCGGTTATGTTGGAGGTCTGGGTCGTCGTCTCGGGGGTTGCCTGGCCAAAGGCGCCCCCAGCTTTTTGCTGCGGCTTCGCGAGGGGTTCCTTGGAGGCCGTCGGGGCCTCCTCAGAAATCCTGGGGCCACCTTGGGCGAGGGGCACTTCTAGCAACACCCGATCCTCGAAAAGGGGAGCCCGCCTGGAAGATAACCCGCATCGCCCGGCGCTGCACAGGGGATCCACACCCGAAGCACCGCACCGGACTCCTGCACTGCTCGACCTGCTCGGGTGGGGCGCGTGAATGACGAGGCGGGGGAGGAGGAACAGTCAGTATGAAGGAGCCAGGTTCAACACGAAGTAAGGAAGCAACTCCTGGAAGGTCTGCATAATAACGAGCACAGGCTAGGAAGCCTGATTGAGGGGCTACTGAGCCAGATTAGGCCCCAGATTAAGCCCACGACTCAGCCGGATTGGGCCGGGACTAAAAGAGATTATGGCACATTGGGCCAGCTTTCGACCACGGATACACAGTCGGGCTGCTGAAATAAGGAAGGATGAACAAGGAACGAAGCTCCACTTGTGGCACCTCAAGACCCTGGGTTTACGAGGAGGGCTAGAGGAACAACCGCGGAACGACCCAAGGAACAGCGAGCCCCCGCAAACCCAAAGCGGGCCTCATTTCGGCGTCTCGACTGTACCAGCGCCGATGCTGAATTCATCCTCCCAGGGCCTGCAGCCCAGCATGAAGGAAGCCGCAAGCTCGCGAAACGCATCCAACAACCGCGGCCCTTCCTCCTGGGCCCTGGGCCTCCGACGCGTCAGCTCGCGAGCACGCGGGCCCCAGACGTCTACGACCCCTTCCACAGAGCTTCTTCGCCTCCGGCCCACTCTGATGCTCCCCGGACCCCACCCCCGCCAACCAGCGATTCTCCTGAATCGATGGGAGGGGGTTGGTAGGGTCAAGTCGGGCCTGTCCCCCTAGAGGGGGATTTTCGACGAAAAATAAAAAATACCCCAAAAATGAAAACAAAAAAACAAAAAAAAATCCAAAAATAGTCTGGGGACTATTTTTTTAGTTTTTGTCCACCTTTTAGGTGCATGTTTAAAGTATTTTTAATGTTTCGTCGAAAATCCCCCTGTAGGGGGACACGCCCGACATAATGGTAGGGCTCGGATCTCGCCACGTGGTCGACGAATTCCGAGCCCTGCCCCCGCCGCCCGTGGAGTTGCCCGAACCGTGGCTCGGCGAGGGTAGGGGGGCGGATTTCGCCGCCGACGAGAAAACCATCCACGGGGGCTGCAAGCCTGGGAGCAACACCCGCACGGACAAACGCGAGTCCGCTACAGGGCAGTTTCTAATGCATGTTTGTTAAATAAAAATGCTTGAAATACATGATTCATTTATGAATCAATGCATGCATGAACTCATCAAGTGTTTAATGCTAAATCCCTGCATTTTCAATACATGATCCGCACGCGGAGCATGTATTAAACACGACACTGTATACGTAGAGGTCGGAGCTCGAAGGTCGGGCGGCGTCGATCCTGCCGGGTCCGTCGGACGACGGGGCGGCTCTGGAGGGGGGGGCGGGCAGCCTCGGTCGCACTGGCTGACGACTTCCTCGAGCCCGGGTGTCCCGGGCAGGTCGGGGGCTGCGCAAACGGGGCCATACCTCAACGGGGAGGCCAAGCTTCTCCACATGCCCCCGTTCACTCTGCCCCCGCCTGCGGCGCCCCACGGGCCGCCTGAAACGGGGGCATGGCCACAGGTGGAAAGCCGTGCTCCCCGTGCCCCCGCTTGCTATGCCCCCCGTCTCCGGCGCCTTGATCAAGTATTTTCTTGATCCGCGGGTCGAGAGCGCACCTCTTCTGGTCGAAGCTAAGCGGGCCGCGCGAAGCTTGAATTAACCATTGAGGGGGAGGAAAGGGGGAGGGGGAGGAGAAGGGGGGCGCAGCCTCAGAACGAGGCCCTGATCAGGCACATGCTGACATGGATTAGGGAGCCATGGGTCTGGCGCGTGAGCGCCAGACCCACGGATCGGGGAGGGCGCCCCCCGGGCATGCGGCCATAGTGCAGCCCCACCTGGCGGCGGAGCGCGCCGATGCCGTGTGGAAGCGGGGCCCGCCGGCAGCCCGCGCGCCTTTGATCCAGGTTGGCGCTTCCTCGATCTGGAGGTCACCTCACCTCTCTGGATTCGCGACGCGCTTCACCCCGCGATGCGCCCCGTTGCCATAACAGGACAGCAGCGCAAAGATTCGCGAGAGGGGCCCGAGAGGAGGAACTCGAACTGACATATCGAGCCCTCCGCCCCAAGAGGACCCCTGAGACCGCCAGCAAGCGCCCAACAGACCTCCGAGAGGTTCCAAGAGGCCCGCAAGATGCCCAAAAGATGCCCCAACAGGCCCGTCCAACGGTTCCCAAGAGGCACAGTGGACTTCGTTTCTCCTCTGGGGGTCGGCGGAATGGCGTCTTCGGGGGGTCGGCGGAGTGGCGCAAGCCACTCGAGTAAGAGAAAGCTCCGCCCGCCCACCTGGCTGAGGGACGTATGAGATTTGACCGTGGGAGCTCCGTACACGGCTCTAACATCCCCCCCTCTTGTCCCCCCCCAGAGGCCTCCAACATTCCGCCGCTCGGCTGCGGCATCGACCCGTTTTGAGCCTCAAGACGGCTTCAAGACAGCTTCCAAAACGACCTCGATTTTCAGATCCTGCTGGTGACGCTTGCGGAGCGCATTTCGGCTCCATTTCGGCCCCTTCGGGGCCCCTCCTTGGCCTCCACAGCCAGACCCTGAGGCCCTGCAGGGTGCCTCTGGGGCCCACCTGCGCGTTCAAACCGGAAACTTGATGACTCTTGCCTCGCCGGGGGTCGTCCGGACGCCTCTTGCAGCCGAGAATCGGACTCGTCTGGGCCATTCTCAAACATGAAAATTTCGTCGCTGGACTTGGGCGCTTTCGGGATCACTATGAAACGATTGTGGGCACAACTGCGGCCCCCCAAACAATATTCAAACGGGCGCAGATCTGGGTCCAGTTCCAATGAGAATGCGCACGGGGCTCGGGCCTACCGTGGGGATGCTCGGGCTTGAACCGACCAGAGGCCCGCCTGGGCAGCCTCGAGTCCTTCTTGGGCCAATTGTGGGGCCCTTTCGAAGCCCTCTTCGGCCCTTCAGGGTCCTCTTCGGCCCTTCAGGGCGACTTTTAGGTATTTTTGGGGCCGTCTTTGGCTGGACTTCGGTAATGTTTTGGCTATCTCCGGCCTCCTGCTGTGGATACGGAGCGAGGGTCAAGAAAGCCAGCGTCCATATCACTGATCCGTTGGTCATGATGACGGGGGCCGACGACCGATCGTCGAATTTAACATCGATCGGTCACGCGGCTCACCCAAGCCCAATCGGTGATGGGATGGACGAGACAGAGAGCGCAGGATACAAGCGCAACCTGCATCTTTGGGGGGGTCTTTCACCACTCTCGAGTACAACCAGCCCGTCTCGACGCCGTCTCCGCCTCTTCTGGCGAGAGCTGTACTATGGGCGGACGATGAACGCGAAGCGCCTTGCATGACTGAAAGCGGCGCGGACCTAAGCGTTCGGAGGTCGGCCCCCTTCCCCGGCGCGCCTGGGCGCGCCAAAGGCGGCCCCGGAGGCGCCGCCATAGGGGGGGCCCATCGCCCATCCGGAAGATCCGCGCGGACCTCGGAGAGCTTAGGCCTCATGCCGGTGCATCCTGGAAGGGAGCTGGTCCCGGGAGGAGCGGGTCCTGGACCCCAGGGCCCTCCCCCCTGGACAAGCTTTCCATCCAGAGCGGCTTCGGTGGCCGTCCCCGGCCCGGGCCCCGGGAGCACGAACAGATGAGGAGGGGGAGAGGGGGAGGGGGAGAGGGAGGGGGAGGGGGAGGGGGAGGAGGAGGAGGAGGAGGAGGAGGAGGAGGAGGAGGAGGAGGAGGACGAGGAGGGGGAGGAGGGGGAGGAGGAGGAGGAGGAGGAGGAGGAGGAGGAGGAGGAGGACCCGGGACCCGCCTCCCTGAGGGCTCCTTTCCTCCATGGCGGCTTCGCGCCACTGAGGGTGACCTGGGACCTTCGATCCTCTCCGGAGGGGCTGCGGAGGGCCGGCGTGCCTAGCCCTGGAACGGCCGAGCGCTGTCCCGCGGACCCCCGGAGGTTTTGACCAATCGTCGACGTCGTCGTCGACGTCGACGTCGTCGTCGACGTCGTCGTCGTCGTCGTCGTCGTCGTCGTCGTCGTCGTCGTCGTCGTCGTCGTCGTCGTCGTCGTCGTCGTCGTCGTCGTCGTCTCCTCCCTCCTCCCTCCTCCCTCCTCCCTCCTCCCTCCTCCCTCCTCCCTCTTCCATCCTCCCTCCTCCCTGCCCCCCCCCCTCCCTCCTTCCCCGAAACCGGTTTTTCACCATGGGTCGTTTTGACGGTCTCGGGGCCGGGCGAGGGCCCCCGGAGGCAGAAAATTCAAAAAACACGCCCGCTGCTTTTGTCTTGCGACGCGAGGGGGTCTGGGCATCCAGCTCTCGCCAAGGCGGGCCGCGTCATGTGTGCGGGGCGTGAACTCTCGACGCCGAGGCTGTTCACTGGGGCGAGAGCGCGGAACGCAAGGGCTTGAGGGCCCCTCCGGGGTCCCGGCTCTGGCCGGCATCGGTGCGTTCCCCGACACGCCGACCACGGCACGCCATGCGGTCAGGAACTTGTGCTTGGCGTGTCGC